TAAGAGAGCACGGATTATGAAGTCAGGTAGTTCTGGGTTTTAATCCTGGCCCTGCCGTGTACGAGTTATATACATGACTTGGGCCTAACTAACCTCCCTACGCCTCAGGCTCCTTACCTGCAGAGTGGGGGTTATTAATAATAGACCTGCTCCACAGACTTGTGAGCATTCTATAAAAGTAGCACATAAAACACAAGAAACAAAGTGCCTCATAAATAACAATGTTACATGGCAGCCTAATGGGGTCCAGAGGCCCTGAAAGCAGGAATTCTGAGTTCAAGCCCAACTCAACAGTGGCCGTTTCATCCCACAGTGGCCACAGCCCATGCCTCTCTCCTTCCCTCCAGACCTGCTCCACACCCGTGGCTCCTGAATTATACAATCCCATATCTCACAGCCTTTCATTTGGAGAGGGAAAAGTTAAACAGCAGCCTTGGCATTTATTAGCTGCCTGATCTTAGGCAAATACTCTTCAACTCCATGCTTCAATTTATAAATTATCCGTGAGATGGAGGTCATAAAACTTCTCAGCCCATCCCAGAGGGCTGTCGTAATGAGCGAGCGGCGGCATGCCACCATCTACAGTGCTTCCCACAGAAAGAAGTCCCCCCTCCTGTGCCTCTCTCCTCTCTTGGCAGGAACTACATGTCTTGAGCAGAGTTTGGGGCGCAAAGACCTGCTCGGTCCTGGCGGCCTGTTGATATGGGGACTTGAGGCTGGAAATGAATGGGCCCCATAAACATCAGGAAGACCAATGAGCCTTTCACAGGCCACAGAGACCAGCAAGCTGAGCAATCGCTATTTGCAAATCTACACTAATTGGTCATTACCGAGAGCAGCATAGCAGTCCACTGCGGACTTCCCACAGTTCATTTTTAATCATGCACCAATCCCTCATAAATTTCCTCTTCCCTCTCAGTTCATTCTCCAGCACTAACAGATATAACAAGGGGCCCACAGGAGTGTTTCTGAGAAATGCCATTTCCAACAGCTGGACAAAGTGATTTTTCGGCACCCGATTGGGGGAGGCCCTCATGTGTATCTGCCGAGGGTGCCATCGGACACGCCTGCTGAACGCAACCGCACAACCCAGCACGAGTCCCTTCCTCTCCTGCTCTTCCTCCTTGCTAACATCAGCGAATGGATGGTGTTTTAATGCGCTCATGGAAAGACACTCACCTGTCCCGGGGCTGCTCCTGGGACGTTCCACAGGGTAGCACAGATGGAGTTGCCTTATTCATGCCCCTGCAGGGTCACTGGTAGACAGCTACCTGGCTGTCCGCCCATGCCCCGAGGCACAACGGGCCTCAGGAACGTGGTGAGGCCTGATGGTGACCAAGAAACCCCTTCCTAATGGCTTTACTACTCTTAGGGACCCAGCTCTGAGTTTTATTGTCGATCATCATTTTGTAAATATTTTCACAGGCGAGGCATCACACTAGACATTAAAGATACAAGGGTGATGAAAAGCAGACCTGTCTCGGCCCTTTTGGAGCCAACTATCTAGGGGAGGGAAGGACATTTAGCAGCATATTCCACAAAGGCATGAAAAGATCACACTCTGCATTGAGGTCACCAAGGAAAGGTATGTGATCCTATGAGAACATACAACAAAGGATCCCCTATGAGATAATGAACGCAGGGAAGGTTTCTCAGAGTTAATGTAGCTTAACCAGAAGAACATGGAATTAAAGAGCAATGGGGAAGAGGAGGCCGACTGGGGAACAGAGTTTAAGCGACAGAGGAATAACCTCTGCAGTGGCCCCCTGGTGGGGAGGGGAGGGGCAAAGCAGATGTGAGGATCTCGTACGTGAGCAATGGTACACACGGGCCTGAGACGAAGCCGAGGGAGGCAGGAGCCAGAAAGCGCAAGAAAATGCCACTCAGGGCTGTGGTCTCTAATGGGAGCATGGGGAAACCACAGAGGGTTTTATGCACGGGAAAGCGGATGGCATGGTTGGGCATGCTTTGGGAAAGCCAACTCATCCTGCTGGTGGAGAACCCATCTGAGGGAGGAGTGAGCAGAGGGGAAAAGACTCATCTGGACAAAAACTGTTGTGTTGGGGAGAGGTCACAAATGCTTAGAGAAGGATGGTGGTGGGGGAGATGGGAGGGCGGCTAGGACGTGGGGACAGGGACAGGGGGCCGTCAGAGATGAACTCTTGGTTCTGGAGGAGCAGCTAAGTAGGCAGATGGCACGGCTACAGCCGGAGAGGCTCCAGCTGCAGGGACCGAGCAGATCGTGGATCGGGGTTTGCAGAGTTGGATTCTGTATATATCATCACCACTGGGACCACCAAGTATGGCAACATCGTGTTTACAAAATGCTTTCATACTCATTGTCCTTACAGGATTCTGACAAGAGTCTCAAGGGACTCAGGATGGTGGGACACGGGTGTCTCATTGGTAGGGAAATAAAATGCAGGTGTTTGGGACCTTGAATGGGGTGGTCAGTAGCAAAGGTCACGCTAGAGGACAGGACACTGGAGACAAAGCCTTCAGAACACATCTGATTGTATTTTTCTTATTTTTTTAAGCCATGGAATCTCCAAGTTGAATAGATAAAAGTCCAGGATGTAAAATAATGAACAGCTGGTCTTCCTGGACGAAAGTGGGCATGCGAGAGTCAGAGCACCAGTCCCTCTGCCCCCCACGTTGTCCAAGACCTCAACCTCAGGGAAACCCCAGGCCTCCCAGGAGCAGATTATAGTCCTACATGCCTTACTCCTTCAGTCTCCCACCATCAGTGGATTTCAAGATCATTTTTTTTTAAGGCTTTATTTATTTGAGATAGAGAGCATGTGCACAAGCAGGGGTAGAGGGAGTGGGAGAAGCAGGCTCCCCACTGAGCGGAGAGCCTGATGCAATGCAGGGCTCTATCCTAGGACCCCAAGATCACAACCTGAGCCGAAGGCAGACACTTAACCAACTGAGCCACCCAGGTGCCGCAAGAGCATTTTAATCCTATGCTGCCTTGGCTGCAAAGGGGAGTAGGGCATTTTCAAAGACCTGCTGCATTTCAGACACTGCTGGGCCTTCACAGGAGTTACCTTGTTTAGTCCCTGCCTTGGTGGCTGTCAGCGTGCCACCCATTAAACACCTGATGGAGCCAGGGCTCAGAACCTAAATCAGATGGTTCTTCAAAGGCAAGCCAGGATGTGAACTTGGGGTTCTGTTGAACCACTTTTGTGTTTTCTTAAAAAAGTAGGGGGTACAGGCGTGCAAGGGGCAGGACACAGGATTGCCCAAAAAAGGAGAGTGATGAAGGATGCAGAAGCATCCTGCATGCCGGGCGCTGTGCCTCCCCTCCCGTTGCTTTTCCCCACTGTGTTGGTGCTGAGACCCTGGGAGACAGAGAGGCTTGCTTTCACCTTAATTAGCGTAGCAATTTGCTAAATTTTGTTTTTCCCTTTTAGGAGTGTTAATCAATTTTAGCTCAGAATAGACTGGAATGGCACACAAATTACCACGACAATCCCCAAATGCTAAATTCTGAACATCTCGATCAACCTCAGAGTCTAAAATACGGGAAAATCAGAAAACTCCGGCCGGCATCTCTGTGATCTATTTACAATGTTATGGCTCCGAAATGAAAAGATAATGGCTTTATGAGGTTTGGAACAAGCAATTTGCTAGAATCATGCCTAGGTGTTTAGTCCTTCCCAAGGTGATTGGAGACAGAGCATCAAAATATTTCTGCAAAGTTACATGTTCCTCTAACAACAGCCATTTGTTAAATCCACAAGCATCACAGGGTACCAACTGTGCACCAGAAATGACGAAAGAGTGAGACGTGCTCCCTGCCCCCTCCCCTATTAAAAAAGGTTCTAAACTAAAGCAGGAGACAGACAAAGATCTCCTCTTTCCTGGAGAAGTCAGGGAAGGTTCTCAGAGGAAGTGTCGACGAAGCAGAGTCCTGCAGGGTGAATAGGAGTTGTAACAAGGTAGGTAGAAGGGTATGTCAGCTAGAAGGAACAGCATAAGCAAAGGCTCAAACGGAGGAGAGCAAGCAGAGACCAGAGATGGTTTCCTAGGGCTGAGTAACAGGCTGAAATTCCAGGAAGGAACCAGATGAGGCGGGAAGAAGAGTCAAGAACCAGCAGCAGGACTTCTTGAGACCGTGAATCTCAATCCTGATCCAGGCCACGTCGCACTATGGATGGATTTTAAGCTAGGAAATGACATGACGCAAATGTGTCTCGTTCGGTGAAACCTTCTGCTCCAACACAACCTTTAATATTTATTCAGCATAATCTTTTAAAGCACATTCACATCTATTCTCTCACTTTTGTCGGTTCATTATCCAATGAGGTTGGTATGATAATCACTTTATTTTTTTTATTTTTCTTAATTTTTTTAAGATTTTTATTTATTTATTGAGAGAGAGAGAGAGAGAATGGTAGAGAGCATGAGAAGGAGGAAGGTCGGAGGGAGAAGCAGACTCCCTGCTGAGCAGGGGGCCGGATGTGGGACTCGGTCCCAGGACCCCAGGATCACGACCCGAGCCGAAGGCAGACGCCCAAATGACTGAGCCACCCAGGCACACAATAATCACCTCTTTACTGATGAGAAAACAGACATAGCAAAGGTACAGATTATTTACTTTGTATCTTATGACGAGTAAATGACAATATAACAAATTAAGACCCAGCCCCATCTGACTCTGAATTCAGCACTGAGCTCGCTGGGTAGCAGAATTCTCTAGAAGAGCCATCAGAGACCTTTGTCAGATGCACACCAGGCCAATGGCCTCCCCCTCTAAAGAAAGCCTTGGCGGCCAGAACCGCCCAGACCAGCATGCATTCTGTGTGGACGACGTGGCCCCTTTGATGCTTTCCATAGTAAAATCAGATCTGGATGGCAAACAGCCTCAGTTACACCCTGGACATTCCCAGTTGAAAGCTGAGATTTCTGCCACTGCCAGTCTACAAGACCACAGGCAAGAAAAGAGTCCAGCGCGAGGAGCTCAGGGAGACACCTCTCTCTCCTGCTGCCCATACCTTGAGCTCATCTGCATTGTAGAAGTCCACACGCACGGCGGGAACCATCCAGGTCTGGAAGAGTGTCGCCAGGATCTGCTCTGCGATGGAGTCGGCGACGAGGTGGAAGTGCAGGGGGTTCCGCCTGTGAGAAGTGGGGGGAAGAGGAGTCAGGAGGGACAAGGAAAGGAGTTCCAGCCACAAATCTACATTCTTACCAATTTGTAACATGTGGTCAGTTTCTAACAGCAGCTAGGAAAGGAAGTCAGGTGCATTACCAACCCAATGCTTGCTGGTAACCAGGACACCAGAGCTGCAAAGGAGAGGAGACACCTCACCCCACCTTAGGATTTCAGACAGGGTCATTGTTACCGTTGGTAACACTCCATTCAAGCCAACTGCCATGCCTGTTGCTAGCGTATTTGTGTCTCTAAAAACCTTAAGCAGAGCCTATGCAACAATTTGGCCAACCTTTATTTCTACCACCTAGACATATGGGCATTAGCTTCAGGAGCAGATGGACAGAGAATAAAGTCTTCAGACCAGCTGAATGCAACAGACAAGATACTTCTCCCACTGCATGGTACGGAGTTCTGTTTTCTGCTTGTTCTTCTCCCAAAAGAAACTCAGGCACCCAAGATGGCATCATGGGGAGCCCCCATCACTGAATACCAGCTTACCCTCACTTTTAATATTCCTACAGCTTTTATTTGTTCCCCTCAACCAGCCATCACTGGGGGAGCCCCTAAAATACAAAGCAGCATCACACAAGGGCAAAGCTTCTGGAGTCAAATGGAAATGGATTCAAATCCCAGGTGTGGCATTTATTAGTGGGGATTTGGGGCATGTCACTTCTCCTTCTAAACTGCTGCCGCTTCGTTCTGTAAAATGTTCAGAAAAATCTCCTTATCAGGCTACTATGTCAATTAGATAAGTGTAATACATAATGCATATCAAAAATAAACACAGGACCATAAACAGCAGATATGCCTTCTACTATCATAAATACTACAGAGCTAGCAGAAATAATAGCACCAACGGTATTACCACAAATGAGAACCTTTGGGAAATCTAAAGATGAAAATGACCTGGTTCCCATGACCTCAAGGAGCTCACAATCCTCAGAGGGACAGAGGATCCACAATGTAACATAAACACAAGGTGGACCATAACATTGCTAACAACCACAACACAACATAACGTTCTTTGGGAGTAAAGAAAAAAAAAAGGCTAATTCTGACTGGGTCAGGAGGACGTCGAAGAGCTGGGGAAGCTGTGCCCTAAAAGATAAAGGAATTTGATGGGAAGCAAAGGGAGAGGGGACACCATCCAAGGAGAGAAACAGGAGACTACAGCCAGAGCCCAGGGCATGCCAGGAGCGTGTGGGGAGAAGTGGTTAGCTGGGACTCAAGGGTCAGAGCAGAGGAGGAGAGAGGAGATTGTGCAGGAAGCAGTGACACCCAAGTAAACAGTACCTACTTCACCAGCGAGGTGTGGGGAGCAATGTGACCCATCTCTTAGCTCCTGGTCTCCTGAGACCCTCCCCAGACCTGTTCTAGATACACAGACCCTCTCTCAGTTTCCCACGCCCTCTCTTCACCTGAGACTTTGCATCTTCGATTTGCTCTGTAAGGAACCTTGCATTTGCTCATTTGATAAATACTTACTGAGCACCTATTACTTGCTGGGAGATGAGCAGGATGCTGGGGACAAGTAAGATGACCTCACAAATCTCATGATCGGGCCCCTCTTCTCCTACCCTTCACACTCCGCAGCCAGTATTTATCTCTTATTCAAGCCTTCAGTTCTGAGATCTGCCATTGTTTTCTCCTAGAGTCCTTCCCTGACTACCCATGCCTGGCTCAGGGGCCCTTCCTGACAGGCCCTTCATCTCAGTACCATGTACCCACCTTTAGGTTTTGACTGTTTGTTGACCTGTCTAGATCCCCACGTGACTGTGAGCTCGGGGAGGTCAAGGATCATGCCAGTCATGTCCAAATGTATCACCTCATAACCTACCTCTGTGCCTAGAATGCAGGAGTTCAATAAATGGACCGAATGGTTGGATGAGTGATGGGACAGTGGACAGGTAAGGGGAACGGAGGTTCACGCGTCATGCAGAAGATGAGACTAGGGGAATGTGAAATGAGGATCTGATTTGAGATAATGTCTGAGGAAGAGCAGCAGGGAAGTTGAATCTAGAGGGGTTTTAGGAAAAGAGATCTTAGATAAGGGGGGAAATGAAGTGGAAGAAGCAGAAGGGGACACTGAGGTTCCTGGGTTGGTGGTGATGTCTCCAGTACAGGGGATACAAGAGGAAAGGCACGCTGGAGAAAGATGAGGGGTTTGGGACTGGATGCACCAAGTTTAAGGTGAGGGTGGCTAAGCCCGGTGGAGCTGAATGGATGAGTTTAGACCTGAAGGCAATTAGCATCCAAGGCTAACCTGCCATGTACATGACAGGTGCTCAGGGTGAGAAACAGAATAAATGAATAGAAGACACAATCACGACTGCAGAATTTCTCTATGGGACCCAATGAACACTGCAAATTCTCCCATTAACTATCTATATTCAAAGGTAAGGGGCATATGTGCCCTATAGCATTCCTTGGAAGCCCTATTAGAAGCTTCCCTGCAAGAAGCTACCAGTTGGCCTGAGTGATGATTGGTGGTCATATTATTTATCAGCCAATGACTTACCTGAAGGCTAAGTGAGAGGCAGCTAGTCAGAGTCCCTGGGAAGACAGATGGCCCACTCAGCCGTCTGTTGGTGTTGGTACAACCATCCCCCCTCTCCCACAGGAGCCCCAGTGGAGTCTTACACATCGAGAACGGATATAACTGTCAATTTGCATTTCTATCCACAATGGAGGAACGGCATAATTTTAGACACAGAGTGACAATACCAAAGAGATCAAGCTACGTATATTTGTTCCAACACAATCATGCTGCCCACGTGTCTCTGTCTTCACGTGCTGCTTGCTCTCCAGGGGATACTCACCCCCTACTTAGAGGTCCCGTGAATTCCTTTTCATCCTTCAGACTTCCCTTTGCAAGTCAGCTCCTCCCGGACACCTTCTCTGAGCTCATCCTGGCCCGTTTTTAAAAACCTGCTAACTTGGCATTTCCTATGAAAAACATGCCTAATGGGTCTGCCTTTGGCTCAGATCATGATCCCTGGGATCGAGCCCCATGTTGGGCTCCCTGCTCAGTGGGAAGCCTGCTTCTCCCTCTGCCTCTGCCTCTCCCCCTGTTGTGCTCTCTCTCTGTCAAACAAATAAATAAAATCTTAAAAGAAAATAAAGAAAGAGAAACGTGCCTACCATTTCTTTTTTTCTTTTTTTTTTTTAAATTGGCTCCACACCTAGCATGGAGCTCAATGTGGGGCTTGAACTCACAACCCTGAGATCAAGACCTGAGCTGAGATCCAGTCTGACCCTCAACTGACTGAGCCACCCAGGGACCCCCAAACCTGCCCACCATTTCTAGCATGACACTGTGATACGTTTTCAAACATGTGGCTCCTTGTCTCTACGGTGAGGTCTCTGAGGACAGAAACCATGTTTTCATCTCCATCCCTAATGCCCAGAGGAGAGCCTGGCACATGACAGGTGCTCAACAAACACATGTTCAACAGGAAAAGGCAGCCAAAGTCCCTCCTTCTAGGTCCCTGTTAACCTTACCGTGAGAAGGTAATGACAGTCAATGGCATCGTCTGCACCAATGGTACAGAGCTAGGGGCTCTGCTCCCCCCAAGAATGTCTGGGTTGGAGCCCTGGCTGCATCAAGCACTGACTGAGTGACCATAAGCAGTTAATTCATCTTTCAAGGCCTGCCTCAATTTATTGATCTTCAAATCAGGAACATTAACAGTAAGTAAACAATATTGCATTGTAAGGATTAAATGATATAAAGTGCCTGGTGTGTAAGATCTTATTGTATGTTAACCACTGGTATGGTCTGAATGTGTGTGCCCTGCCCCCTCAAATTCATAGGTCAAATCCTAACCCCCAAGCTGATGGTATCAGGAAGTGGGGCCTTTGGGCGGTGATTAGGTTGTGAGGGTGGAAACCTCCTGAAAGGGATCAGTGTCCTTAGAAAGGAGGCTCCAGAGAGCTCCTGCCCACCTTTCATCATAGAAGGACACAGAGAGATGTCAGCAATCTGTAACCAGAAAACAGCCCCCTGCCCCCTCCACCATCAAACCATGCTGGTGCCATGATCCGGGACTTCTCAGCCTCCGGGACTGTGAGGAATAGATTTCTGTGGTCTATGAGCCCCCGAGTCTGTGGTATTTTGCTATAGCAGCCTCAAGCATACCAGGATAATCACTGTCAGTGCTAACTTAGGAAACTGTGATTTTTCTCTACTGCTTTGCATTACTCTTCAAATGAAGTAATTTCAATTAGTTCCTCCATCCATAAATCCAAAAATGAGTTGAATGAAGACACATGCAACAAAGAGATATCAAGCATTAAGTACATGAAAGGCATAACAGGGGTTTAGGTGACACAGGAGCTGGGACTCTCCTCTCTTGGTGCAGCTATCAATCTGGCAGAAACAGAGAGAGAATGCAAATAACTACATAAACGTTGGAACACAGGTGGGCCCTAACACTGGACCACCTGACACAACTGCAAAGTTTGGGAATGACACACCTCCCGGGGAGCCATCTAAACAGACTGATATGGACAGTAAGTGAAGGGTACCCCTAGATTTGGATGGTGAGCAACCTGCACAACTGTATAGGATGGCTCTGCAAGCAGAAGCACAAAAGCTACAGGGGTGGAAGAGAACCCCCCCGGGCATAATAAATAGGGGCCCCAAACACATGTCCATTCTCCTGAATTCCCTGCCAGGGGCTAAGGGCACACCATTCATCCAGCCTCACAAGCTAGAAACAGGAGCATCACCAGCCCCGCGCCCCGCCCCCCCAATCTCCCACACAGCCAATCACTTCCACGCACTGAATGGCCGCTTAGTCCAGTGAGTAGGAGCCAGGTCTCTAAAGCCAAATTGCCTGGCTGCTTCTTATCTTGGTTTGTCACAAACTAACAACCTAACGATATGACCTTGGGCAAGCATGTTCGTCTTGGAGTCTCAACTTCTGCAACTGTAAAGTGGGGCTGTTATGATCAGATCTAA